TAGGGCCGTTCCCGGTGTGTAGCGTCCATTGTCTCCGCCACTAAATGGCTACCCAAAGGGTCCCCTTCCCCACAGTTTGCAAAATGTGCTCCCTCAGGGGAAATGCTGGCCCCATGGAGAACCAATGCTTTCACTGCATCACTAGGTGGTAAGCGATGAAAACGCCAATGCAGGTGTGCACCCTGAAATAGCAGGGCACTCATAGTAGCAGGTGTGAGCTGGCCAGCGGGGTCATGCGCGTGAACTGTCAGAGGGTCGCAGAGGAGGTGATAGAAATCAGACCGGTGAGGGCCGCGTGCAGCAGGGTGGGGGGCGGTGAGTGCTCAGAGGTACCCGGGAACTTTAGGGGGGATGGAAACAGTATATCCCAGTGGAGGTGTTCCTGGTATATACTGTTGGCACAGTTTATGGAATTGTACACTTAAGATTTGTGTGTTTCATCATATGCATGCTTTACTTCAATTAAAAAAACCCCACAAGAGTGAAAACGCTGGAAGATTCTTGTAGAGACTGTCTGGTCCTCTGAGACTCACCTGTAGTCACCACTCTGAGAAGGGGGACTGTTCTCAACCGACGAGAAGGCAGTGCTCGGGGCATTCTGTCTCTCACAGTTGACTTTTTGCAAGTCCTGTGAGGCCAGACTCAGTTCAGAGCCTTTGGCAAGTGTCTGCGTTGGGGCTATGCTTCAGGATGAGATTCTGGAAGGGGCAAGGCAGTGCGCTTAAAAGGTCACCAGGGATGGAGACCAGAGTCACTCCCATCACCGGGCCTGGTTTCTCTTGTCCAGGAGCCCAAGGAAGGCAAAGTGGAGACCTTGCCAAACTCCAGCCTAGCGGTCAAGCCCACTCCTGTCTGTAGCCCTCTTGTGATGGTAATCACTCCCTCTCTGCCTCATTTTCCCCTTTGCCCTTAACACCCACGTGACACCACCAATCTGGTGGCTTTGAGCCGTGTAAGAGCTGAATAACTTAGATTTCCTAGCAACACCGGAAACCTCTGTGGCTATTTTTACTTTATCTTCATGTCCTGTACATGATACCCTTATGATGGAAAAAAAAAAAAAAAAAAAAAGCAACTCTCCTTGCCCCGTTTGGGTAAATAAGTCAAATAGTTCTGTGAGCTAGGCTTTTGGATCTGTCCCCCGAGAGGAAAATCACCAACATTTCAGGGTTTTTTGGATTTTCTGAGAGGATAAGTGTTCCTTTTCCCTCTGTGGTGGGAGTGGTTTTGTATGCTCAGAGTCGTGGAAAGCTTTTTCTCGGGGGAAGATCCGTGACGGCCATGCCGACCACGTAGTCAGGGTTTAGGATGTCTGTGTGTTTTTCATCTCTGCAGAATGGGAACAGTCATCATGTCGCGTCGGGGGCACACCGTGGCGACCCCCAGGCGGTCACGTTCACGTTCTCCTTCCCCGTATGGAGCCGTCCTGGGGCCCCGTCCATCCTCGGGGCTGGGCTGCTCTGTGTGTCTGGGCTGGTGGGTGTGAGTCTGTAGGACCCCAGTGCTTCTGTTTCTCGTGGTTGGGACGGAATGGAGATGACTGTGGTGCTTACGTAAGATAGTGCCTCGCCGAGTTTACCTCCAAAATGCTCCTCTTGGGAAGTGGAGAGTAGATGCTCAACCCAGCACTCCACAATATCACCTTAAGAGATAGTTCTTTGCCTCACGTTTTATCTCTTGGAGACTTTTCTTTCCTCTTCATGACATAGCCCTGTATCCTCTAATGTAAAAATGATAACTCCCCCTAGAAAAGCTTCAGGGAGAATCCTTACCCCTGGAAGACGGGCTCTGAGATCCCTGGCCATCTGCAGCTTCTCTGGGCGGGTATTCGTGGCTCTAGTTTAAAAAAACAAGGACTTGTGTAAGCACAGGATTCTAAAGTATTTCCCACCATCGTGTAGTTCCCTGGCTTTATAAGTTCCGAAAACTGACATTTTTGGTCTGAATGATATCGACTGTTTAATAGCTGGTTGAATGCTTGTAACAGGTGAACATCATAATTATGAGCTTCATTTTAATACCGTCATCCATTCCCTGTGCACGTTTCCACTGATTTTCAATAGAACATGTGGGTGGTGACATTTCACGAGCTGAAGAACCTGCCTTACAGCCCTCGCTTTCCCCAGGGCCTCATCCACTGTACCTTCTTAGTTATAGGTGAATCAGTTGGAGCGTCATTCTCTGAATATTCTCCCACGATGTCCGATGTACACGGAGGCCACGTTGATTGACGTTTGGGATGAGAAGCTGTAGTAAATAACGCCGTCCGTGTCTTTACGTGGCGCTCAGTGTGGAGAGAGAGTAGGCATGAGGTGGAAACGTGGAAAGTACCGTTAGGATTTCCTTTTATATTTAGGAGGCGGGGCTCTGCTACTTAAGGTCCCTGGAAGAGGATGGGGCCCCCTAGTGTTGTCATGTCTCTCCTTGGGTTTCTCCAGAAACCTCCCTTAGACCTGGCAGGAGAGATCCCACCCAGGCCCTGTACTTTGGAGGGTTCTGTTCTGTTTCTCAGAGCCGGCTGCTGGCCTCGGCATGGCTAGGAGTCTGTGGGGCCAAGAGGATGGTCCAGGGGCCCAAGAGCCCTGGCATTCCCTGCCCAGATAACCTGGACTTGGATTCCAAGGCGTGTGCAACCCTCTTTCCTGGGTTGTCCACTGGGGACTCCACTGCCTGAGGGCCTCCCTGGTCTGCAGAGTGGCCAGGGCCAGACGGGAGGATGTCTGCGTGTATGCACACTCAGGGCCCTCACAGTATGGGATGGAGCTGGGGGCATGCCAGGGAGTCAGGCTTGGAGGTTACTGTAGATAGAAACTGCTCAAGCCCCACTGGGCACTGCCCCCTGTAGACCCTGTGTGGGACGGTGCAGCCCGGACCCTGGGCCCACGCAACAGTATGTCTTCATGCATCTGGGGTGCATCTGCTGTGCACCACCTCAGTCCTCTGCGTAGCTTCTGTCCTGGAAGGCAAGAGTCACAGAGGGGGAATTCCTCAGAAACACGAAGGAAATTCCTTAGAAACAAGAAGGAAATTCCTCAAGAATAAGAAGGCCTTAATAGATGCTCTGTGGCCACAAACTAGGAGCAAATGCCCTGCCCCGCCCTTCACGGGGGCTCTGGGACTTGTGGAAATCCCTCGGGTTCTCATGACAGCACCCCACCCCCATGTCTCTTTTCCTTTGTCTGCACTGGGTGTGGAACTTCTTGCAGTGACAGGAAGGCGCTGTGGATAAAGTCAGTCCTTCCCGGAAGGGGGGCTTTGGTTGGGGCCAATGCGCTCACTGTAAATTCTGATGCTTAATCTCTGTTCTTATAAATTAGCTCACGTTGAAGTTTCTCATTCTGGGTCTAGGAGGAAATTGCTCTATGCCTCACATTTGTACTTTCACTTTGTCTTTAATAAGCCACTAGCTTTCTATGTATGTTCCATGTACCACATAGGCATGCTGTGATGTACTAGTTTCCAAACGGCGTCACCAAAAAGCAATGGGAGCTGGACTTGGGGAGCTCACAAGGGCTCGCTTTTGCAGCGAGCGTCGTAGAAAGTCGCGCCTTGTGTTTCCACTCCACGGTGCACTGTCGTGAGCGGGCCAGGCTGCTGGAGGTGGGGTGAGTAGCCGAGGCCTGTTGACCCAGGCCCCCCACGACGGCCCTGCGTCGGGCAGTGGGGTACCTCAGTGCACTGCTGCACCCCTGCACATCAGCTGGAAGCTGCTATGGAGAGGACGTTAGCAAGTCTGGGAAACTTCATACATAGCATAGGCATCACTGCATCGAGGCAGGAAAGTGGTTAGAGGGCTGTGGGGTGTCCTTCCCTGCGGAAGGTTTCCTGGACCTTCCAAACAAATCTGGTCCGCTTGCCCGTCCACCCCTCCCCCAGTCGTCGTCCACGGGACTGCCATCAGCTGTGGTCATTCTGGGCCACACGACTGGAGGTGGGGAGGGCCCTTTGCTGGGCCTGCAGACGGGAATATCTGGGAGGCTTGTCTTTGATCTTGTGTCCTGTTATGATTCATGATGACGAGCTCTGACACCTTGATGGGATGCCCTGTACTTTCTCTTAAGTCCAAAGTGAATAACAAGGGTGGCATTTAGTACATTTAGTCTAAGGAGAATGTTTGGCGTTGAATTAGGCTGTTTTATCCACTGGGCATTAAAAGGCCTTATGCTGAGGCCTTACAAGCTTCTCAGAGGCCTAAGGAAATGATTCAGACCTGAGAAAAAAAAATATGACACTGCAAAACTCTAAAAGGAAACTGCAAAACCAGGGAATGAATGGTGAAACGTCTAGAGGACGTCACAGTAGGGCATTCCCAGCTCAGCTTTTTAGAAGTTATCTTAAGTTATGTAATTTGGAATGCCAGTGTGTTAATATGCTTGGTGCAAAGGAAGAGTGAAGATTCTGAGGGGATGACTGTTACTAAACAGGGCCTGGAAGGTTTTCCTGGCATCTGGTGCGTTTCCCTGAGCATTATTCTCCAGTTGCGTTAAGTGGCCAGGTGCGTTAAGAGGTGGTTTGACTCATCCCTGTGTGCAGCAAAGTGCCAGGTGTGTGCGTTTAATCAAAACGAACTAGAGGTTGTCATATAGACACTATAGATACTACGTATAAAATAGATAACTAATGAGAGCCTACCGGATAGCACAGGGAGCCCTACTCAGTGCTCTATGCTGACCTACGTGGAAAGGAAATCCAAAAGAGGGGATGTATGTTTACGTAGAGCTGATTCACTCTGCTGTACAGCAGAGGTTAACACAACATTGTAAGGCAACTTTACGCCAGGAAAAATTAAAAAACAAAACAAAACTAGGGGTTGTCCGCCTCTGTATTCTTCACCCCTGACTTGATTTTCTCAAAGGACTGTGGGACACGTGCTCTTTAAACAGGTGACTCACCTTTGTAAGCCTGTTTTGTTTTGTTGGACCCCGTGAGATCTGTGTGGTGGTCGGGGACTTGACGTTCCTTGTTCCAGCTCATGCCCGTGTGTGCATTTCCTTCCCCAGGTAGATGCGCCCCCTGAAGATGGTGACTCCTTCCTAAGGAGCCGGTCACTTCCTACGAGACAAGGCCTCCTCCACAGTTACTGGGCTGATTCACCCCAGGGGCCCGCCGGCCTTTTCTCGTCAACAGCTGAAGTCCTCCACCCTGTTTCAGGTAGTTTTGGACTATTTCCCATTGTATACAAAATATTTTGGTTTTGGAGGTACATTTTTCTTTGGGACATCTCCGTAGTTTTATCTGACTTCTGAAGGGGTCTGTGAAGCCATTGAGAAGCCACTGCTGGGCTTCCCTGGTGGCGCAGTGGTTGAGAGTCTGCCTGCCGATGCAGGGGACGCGGGTTCGTGCCCCGGTCCGGGAAGATCCCACATGCCGCGGAGCGGCTGGGCCCGTGAGCCATGGCCGCTGAGCCTGCGCATCCGGAGCCTGTGCTCCGCAGCGGGAGAGGCCATAACAGTGGGAGGCCCGCGTACCGCAAATAAAAAAAAAAAAAAAAAGAAGCACTGCTCACCCGGTTTCTCAGGGTTGCCTCCCCCTCAGCTTCAGCTGTGACCATGTCATGGTGGCTCCCAGTGCAGGTCTGAGCTGCCTCAATTCCACCTCATCCCGGGTTCCATGTCCACGTCACTGAATTTCCACCTCACAATCGAATTCTCGATTTCTGTTACATGGTCTCAGGAGACCCAGGCTGGCGGTGCACTGAGTGACATTCCCAGGCATCTCCTCGGCTGTGTGGGTGCCGGAACCTGCCCTCCTCACCTGCCCTGCCCTTGCTGGTCCCACCTGAGGGAATCAGGGCCGGTGGGTCCCAGACCCCTTCTCTGGCTTGCCTCTGAGTGGGACTCAGATATGCCCCCTTCCGTCTGTCTGTCACTGCTGGCCGCTCATGCCTGCATCCCTGCTCATCTACAGCCCTTCCCCAGACACCTCTCCTGTTTATATTCCACATGGGTGCCAACATTTCCTTAAAAGATGAAAATCTGATCGTATACCACTCTGTGGCTTAAAAGCATTACGTGATTGTTTTGCCACCTACAAATGGCAGTCCCAACTGCTCAGCAAGCCTCTTCGTGTCCTGGGCACTTTCCATCTCTCCAACTTTGCCTCTTGGCACCTCACCTTTTTTTTTTTTTTGGCCGCACCCAGCACATGAGATCTTGGTTCCCCGACCAGGGATCGAACCTGCGCTCCCTGCAGTGGAAGCGCGGAGTCTCAACCACTGGACCGCCAGGGAATTCCCGGTGCCTCACCTTTGATTTATGCTATGGAACATGATGAATATCCCCCATGCTCTCCCCACCGTGAGGCTCACCTGGTCCAGAAGCCCTCCTTCAGGGCGCGTTAGGCCCTGTCTTCCCTCCTACCCGGGGCATCTCTCTCCCCATGGAAATTCAGTCCCGCATTGTGGTGTAACCCTGCAGACATGTCCACTCTCCCTGCTGGCTGGTGAGCTCCTCGAGCCCCTGAGTCATTGTTCCTAATCTTGTTCCCAGGTCCAAGTGTACACACAGGCATGTAGTAGACCTTCAATATACAGTTGTTGATTTGGCAGCAAATGAATAAAGAAATGAATGGATATCTGAGAACATTTTACCAAAACTTACATCTCTCATCAGAGCATGGGTGACTTATAATAACTAATTCAGAGTGTCACCATTTGCCAGACAATGTTCTAAACCCTTCATGTGTGACAACTCACTTAATCACAGCCTTCAAGGACGAATACTGTTATCACCATCCCCATTTTGTCCAAAGGGGGAACTGCGACACAGAGGCTGAACTTTTATCCAGTGTGCCATTGATGGCTATGTGGGATGTATTGCGTGATCACATGTGGCTGACGGCTGAATTGTGACCATCTTGAAGAGCGGGTTCTTGTTTTATATTTCACTTTATTTATTTTGAATTTTAAAAATTATTTTTGTCCCTGGCACTAGCATATACAGCCTGGTGTACAGGCTGTATATGTTGGTATACAGCAGAACACAAATGTCGTTGAGGGATTTTCTGATTTGCCCAGCCTTTCAAGGATTAGCAGGGTGAAGGCTAGTCAGGTTTGGCTTCACCCTTGGAATTTTGTATTGTCTTGGGACATACGGGGGGTTTTGTTCATTTTTTTTGTTTAGTTTGGCCTTGGATGGTACGTCTTTACCTGCTTTCTCTACACTGTCCACACTCATGGGACTCTTAACCCCCATCCCATGGCCTGGAGCCAAACCCCTTGCCCTAGGATCCTGGAGACTGACAGGGATTCAGAAGGTCCCCTGCTGAGGGGAAGGGGCTTCTCTCACCCCCCCTGCTTTTTTCCCAGAGCAGTTCCAGGGCAGGCGAGGTAAAACCTGGACCCCTGGGGCCGGGCTCCTGCATTTTATGGACTACTAGATAGGAAGGGGTCTATAGTCACCCAGCCCATTGCCAACTGTGCAGACGAGGAAACCGAGGCTCAGGAGGAATTGTGTCCAAGGTCGCACCGTCCTTGGACTTGCAATTCTTAAACGTTGTTTGCCCACAATTAATTTGGAATTACATCTCCAGACACACTCTGTATGAATTCAGCCTGGCACCTTCCTTGTCTTCTCCCCCGCCCACTCATCGAACAAGCCAGAGCTTGTGACTAAATGAACGAACACCTGGCAGAGTTCAGCTGATTTTGTGGTGTCTTTAATAAACTAATGTGAGTCATGGATTGGCCTGGAACAGGTAATCGGGAAATGTTTTCACCCTTTATTTACTTCCTTCTATCATAGAAATTTAAAACATACCTCCTCAGGGTTACAGAAATAGTTAATAAGCCAGACTGCAAGACGTCAAAGCCTCCCATCTTATTTAATAATCTGAATACAGGTTCAAGGTAAATATGATAATAATACTCTTAATCTAGACTAATTTGGGAGAAGGCTAATTTATGTGAGTAAAATGTCAGAATTACAGGATACTTAAGGAACGTGGTCTCATGGCTCTGAGGAAGGTTTCAAGGCTTGAATCAGGTATAGGGATCACTGCCCTCATGCTGGGGGTAAACTGAGGAGAATGCAATTGGGGGCGTCTCTCACGCTTAGATTGTCTTCTTTTTCCCTGCATTTGCAGGCACACCTCGGAGATACTGTGGGTTTGGTTCCAGACCACCACAGTAAAGCTTATATTGCAATAAAGTGAGTCACACGAAATTTTTGTTTCCCAGTGCATACAAAAGTTATGTTTACACTATACTGCGGTGTGTTAAATGAGCAATAACGTTATGTCCAAGAAAGCAATGTACATACCTTCACTAAAAAATACTTCATTGCTAAAAAATGCTCACGGTCATCTGTGCCTTCAGCGAGTCATCATCTTTGTGCTGGTGGAGGGTCCGGCCTGGATGTCGGTGGCTGCTGACTGCTCAGGGTGGTGGTTGTTGAAGCTTGAGGTGGCCACGGCAATCTCAAAGTAAGACGACACTGAAATTTGCCACATTGATTGACTCTTCCTTTTGCCTGGACACTTAGAGGCCATTGTAGGGTTGTTAGTTGGCCTGATTTCAATAGTGTTGTGTCTCAGGGACTAGGGAGGCCCAAGGAGAGAGTTGGGGGTACAGCCAGATGGCGGAGCAGTCAGAACACACACAGTATTTATCAGTTAAATTTGCTGTCTCACATGGATGTGGTTCGTGGTGCCCCCAAAACAAATTACAGCCGTGACATCAAAGATCCCTCATCACAGATGAATGTAAACATAATAGTAACGAAAAAGTTTGAAGTATTTTGAGAATTACCAAAATGTGACACAGAGACATGAAGCGAGTGGCTGCTGTTGGAAAAACGGTGCCGATGGACCTGCTCGATGCAGGGGTGCCACAAGTCTTCCATTTGTTAAAAAACACAGTATTTGCAAAGTGCAGTGAAGTGGAGCGCAATAAAACGAGGTGTGCCTGTATTTAAAAAGCACATTGTCCCTTTTTTAATACCACTTCTTAAGTAGAACATTTTCCAGCTAATATTCAAATGATTGCATGTTATTAGAATCTGGGTTTGTGATGTCTTAGTTAAAATATTTTGTGTTTGCGATTAACTTACGGCTACAGAAAAGAATATAGGCAAATTTCATCTTCTGTAAAATGAAAAGGACCGCTTTTTTTTGAAGCATGAAATTATGCGGTCTGCCCTGGACATTGCCCCTGAGGTCGGGTCGAGGGGATAGCTGTTTCTTTAGTTCATTTTTTCACTCATTCTGTGAGCACTCATCAAGGGCTTCTGAGTTCCCAGCACAGTTCTGGAAGGTGTGAGTGCAGTGATAGGCGGGTCATGGTTCCTGCCCCCATGAGGCTCCCTGTCCTGGGGTAACTGCAGTGAAAAGTGCGAAGGCATTAACACAGGTTGCTGCAGGGGCCCAGAGAAAGACGGTCTGGCCAGGCAAGGGTTCTGGGGGCTCCCTGGAGCTGATGGGAGGAGGGTGACCCTGGCTGAGACCTGCTGGGTGGGGAGGTACCTTCACCACCAGGTGAAGGGTGGAGGGAATAGCAAAGGCAAGGGCTCTGAGGTTGGAGAACTGGGCAAGGTGAAGGCTGACGTATGGACTGGACATGGGGAGAGGAAGGTGGAGGGTTGAGCAGTCAGAGCCTCAGCACAGAGGACCTGTGTGCTTTGCTGAGGGGTGCGGACTGTTTGGGGTGCACTGGGGAGCCGGTGAAGGCGCTTTGAACCGATCACTTGGTAGCTATGAGTTTGTAAGATCCCTGGATTGAATGGAAGCAGTAAGTCCATAGGCAGAGAGACTGATAAGGAGCTAGCTGGCATAATTAATCCAGGAAGGAGCCGGTGATGGTTGAGCTAAAGAGGCATCAGCAGTGGGTATGAGTGAACCGGGCTGGTTTGTTGCTCTCCGGAGCCGGGCTGTTCGGGGCTGGTGAGAACAGCTCTGGGGATGGCGGGTGTCGGGGTCACTGAGCCTGGGTCTCTCGTTGGGTGGGTGGGAGCGTGGCAGCGCTGTCCCTGTCGCTGAGGTAGGGAGCATGGCTGGTACGGAGAATGAGTTTGGTTTGAGGCCTGTGGAATACTAGGAGTTCATAGGTTGTTGAATAGACTTGTGCATAAGTTCATTGGAAGCACGAGACTGCAATTCATTGCATGTAGTTGTAAGGTCCCCCTTCAGGAGCACTGAACAAGAACGTTCAAAAAGGTAAAGGGGGCCGTACTGAACATTAACTTAATTTGGGCCTGAGAAGTTTAGAAAGGTAGGCAAAATGGAGTGCTTTTTTCCTGTTTCAATTGATATTATTTTAGGGATATTTTATGGATAAAGCCACGGGCGTGCTTTCCTTCCAGCATCAGTCAAACGCCTAATCTGATTACGCCCCCTGCCAAGTACATGGACAGAGTGTTAGGAAATTGAAATGCTAGGTTACCAGGACCTCAGTTTAATATGTAGCCCTATGGCCGATCAATACCTGTTGTAGCTGCTGCTATGTTAGTGTGGCTTCTAAACCACTCAGAGGAGCTGTGGAGGTTTTGTTTATATTTTTGGTTTTCTTTGTGATACGATTAATACATGCTTATTACAGAAATTTTAGATAAAAAGCCCCAGCAAGCCCCAGAGAAGGGGCAAACCAACCAACCACAAGAAGCAACCCAATTATGACATATTGTTCTTATTTCTTTTAGGCTTTCTGGTGCATTTCTATGCAGCTATACCATTTCGTACAAGTGGTTTAGTGTCTTACCTTATAAAGCGAAGGTGTGAGCTTTTGCAGGATCTGGAAGTATGGGGAGACTTTGCAAGTGGGTCCTGGCAGTGGGTACATTCCAGGTGGGGAACACATCCATGTAAGTAGAGGCAAGATGGTTTAGGGTCCAGTGGGTAGTCTATTTTGGGTGTAGCATAGATTAGATTTGGGGGAAATTTAAATGGAAGTGAACGTTGGGACAGTTGATGGAAGTTTTGTTAATCTTAAGCTGTGTGAGTTTGTCCCCAGTTCTGTTAAAAATCTTCATTCCCCTTTTCCCCAGTTTGCGTCCAGAAGCATGATCACGTAAGTGATGTAGGGAGACTAACCCATCAGTATGACTTGCGGGTAAGGGTGGGACCAGGGGGGGAGTCCGTGTGTGTAGTCTTAGAGATGTTTGGGGGAATAGTAACATTTAAAATTTTTCTTTCATTCCTCTGTTTCTCCAGGAGAATATGAAAGTATTATTCAGGCTTGTTTGTTTCATAGCTCTACTGACTTCTTCTCTGGAGGCTGGTGAGTTAAGCATTTCCTTGTGTTCCTGTCTGCTAAGAAAATCTGTTATTTAGAATACATGAAGTACCTTGCTGAACAGAGTCATTTTTCTTACGTGTGTCTGGATGCCCAAGTCACAGAACTGTATTGCTGGATGTCCTTTCAAGATCTTTACTTTTCATTCTCTCATTTATACATTGGGAAACTGAAGCCCAGTGAGGTTAAGAGCCCAAGGTCATAGAGATCAGGTTGGGGGTGGGGAAATATTCTAGGCAGCATGTGCCAAGGCCCTGAGGCCAGGAGTACTGGCATGTTCCAGGGGCTGAAATCTGCTGTGGCTGGAGCAGAGGGAATGGTGAGGGATGTGATACGGGGTGAGGTCATTCAGGTAATGGGGGGCGGTGGAAGTTTGACTGTGTAGAGAACCTTGTAGACCTTTCTAAGGATCTTGGCTTGTACTCTGAGGTGGGAAGACTGTGTAGGTTCCCTGTTTGAAACCAGAGAGGTGATCTAACTTTCCTTTCTGTTTTTTTTTTTTGGCCACGCCGTGCGGCTTGTGGGATCTTAGTTCCCCGACCAGGGATCGAACCCGGGCCCTCAGCAGTGAAAGTGTGCAGTCCTAACCACAGGACCGCCAGGGAATTTCCATAACTTAAAGGCTCATTCTGGTTCTTATACTGTGAACAGATCCTAGGGAGGCAAAGGGAGAAACAGAGAGGCCAGTTAGGAGGCCATTACAGCAATCCAGGCAAGCTATGATGGTAACTTATTCAAGGGTGACAAGGAGAAGTGAGTCGTCAGAGTTTGGATATACTTTGAGGACAGAGCCAGCAGGATTTGCAGACAGATTGGACGTGGGTGTGAGAAACAGAGACGAATCAAGGATGACTAAGGGTTTCAGCACAAGCGCATGCAAAGTGGAGTTGCCATTGATGGGAGGGGGGAAGGTCACGTGTTCAGACTGAACATGTTAAAGTTAGCTGTCCATTAAGCTGTCTAAAGAGAGACGTTGACTAAGCACTCTGGAGCCAGGGGTTGGAAGTACAAAATTGGAGCCCTTGGCAAGCAGCTGCTATTAGAACCCTGACACTGGATGGGTCTACCTGGGAAGTGAGTGTGGTTAGAAAAGAACAGAACTTCAAGGAGTGAACCCTGCAGCCCTCCAGGGATGGGTGGTCAGGCTTCCATTCATCCAAGAACCAGTGAAAGACTGGCCTGAAAGGTAGGAGGAGAACCAGCCAAATGTCCTGAAAGCCAGGTGAAGAACGTGTTTCAGGGATGAGACTAACACGTGTCCAGTGCAGATGTGCTAAGTAAGATGACGTCCGAGAGTTGTCCATTTGATTTAGCAACTTAAAAGTCATAGGTGACTTTGATCAGAACAGTTTTGATGGAGTGGTGGAGCAAACCCCAGATAAATAGGAGAGTGGGTTGAGCTGAGACCTTAAGGTTTACTCTTTTATCACTGTTATTGCTACTCTTACTCCTCGGAGCTAAATACTTACCAGTCCTCCGTCAGTGCAGGTACCTTGCTGAGTGCCTAGCCACTTTTGTTTCCATTCTGTTTTTAAATAGCTTTATTGAGGTTATAATAGACATACAATAAACCACACATGTTTAAGGTATACAATTTGATGTGTTGACATACATATACACGCCTGAAACCATCATCACAATCAAGATAATATTGAATTGAGTATTAATTGGTTTGGAGAGAACGGGGCAGCTCAACAATATCAAGTCTTCTGATCAATGAACAAAGTATAGACGTCTTCATTTTTTTAGATCTCTTAAAATTTATTTAAATAAATTTATTTTGTAATTTTCATTGGATCAGTCTGATGCATCTTTCGTCACATTTATCCTAAATTATTCATATCTTGATGCTATTGTAAAAGGCATTTTAAAAAATCCAGTTTCTAATTATTCTTAGGTAATATATACACACACCTTCAAATTTGCATATTCATATTGTATCCTACAACTTACAAACCCTCTAGGTCTTCGGTAGATTTCCTAGCATATTCTGTATAGAAAATCATGTTGTCTGCAAATAAAGACATTTTACTTTTCTCTTCAATCCGTATGCCATTTCTTTTTCTTGCCTAATGCACTAATTAGATCTTCCAATACAATGTTGAATAGAAGGGGTTAGAGTGGACATTCTTACCTTGTTTCTAATCTTGTATATGACAGCTGTAAGGTTTTTATAGCTGTCCTTTATTAGCTTTAGGAAGTTCCCTTCTATTCCTAGTTTTGTTTTATTGTGGGTTTTTTTGGGGGGGGATGTTGTGTACATCATAATGCACTGTCCTTTTTTGATATATTGTAGCATTCAATTTGCTAAGATATTTTAAAGAAATTTTGCATCTATGTTCATGATGAAGACTGTTTTGTGGTTTTCTTTTCTTGGAATGTCTTTGTTTGGTTTTGCAATTAGAATAATACTGACCTCATAGAGTGAACTGGGAAGTGTTACTGACTCTTCAGTTTTCCAGAAGAGTGTGTGTAAAACTGGTGTTGGGCCTTCTATGAATATACCAGTGAAGCCATCTAGGCCTGAGATTTTTTTTGTTGTTGGGAGGTTTTTAACTACACTTTCTGTTTCTTTAATACCTGTAGGGCTATTCAGGTTATCTATTTCTTCTTCAGGCAGATTTTATAGTCTGCACTTTCAAGGAATTTGCCCATTTCATTTAAGTTGTTGAATTTATTGGCATTAGGCTGTTCATAATATTTCCTCATTACTCTTTTAAAATCATTTTAATGAGAGATGTCACCTCTCTTTTTTTCCTGATCAGTATGGCAGGAGATTTATCCATTTTATTGATTTTTCTGAAAGAACTAGCTTTTGGTATCTTTGATTTTTTTCTCTATTGTTTTTGTTTTCCATTTCATTGATTTTGCTCCTGGATCTATTACTATCCTCTGCTTACTTAGGGTGTAATTTTTTAAAAAATTTCTTAAATGGAATCCAAAGTCATAATTTGAGATTTTTTTTCTTATACAGACATTTAGTGCTATCAATTTTCCTCTAAGTATTGTTTCCTTTTTATGCCGTATGTTTTGATATGTTGTGTTTTCTTTATCATTCAGGTCAAAAGACTTATCTCCTAATCTCCTCCTTTATTTCTTCTTTTTTTTTAAATTGATTTATTTATTTTTGGCTGCGTTGGGTCTTTGTTGCTGTGCTTGGGCTTTCTCTAGTTGTGGCGAGCAGGGACTACTCTTCACTGTGGTGCACGGGCTTCTCATTGCGGCGGCTTCTCTTGTTGCGGAGCACAGGATTTAGGCATGCGGGCTTCAGTAGTTGTGGCACGTGGGCTCCGTAGTTGTGGCTCACAGGCTCTAGAGCACAGGTTCAGTAGTTGTGGTGCATGGGCTTAGCTGTCCCGAGGCATGTGGTATCTTCCCGGACCAGGGCTCGAACCCGTGTCCCCTGGATTGGCAGGTGGATTCTTAACCACTGTGCCACCAGGGAAGTCCCCTTTATTTCTCCTTTGATGCATGGGTGATTTTTTTGTTTGTTGGTTGGTTGGGTTTTTTTCAGCTTTTAAATACATGGGTGAATTACTAGATATTTTTCTGTTACTGATTTCTAATTTAATTTCATTGTCAAGAGAGAACATACTTTGAATTCTTTTAAATTTGTTGACTGTTGGGTTATAAGCAGGAATATAGTATATCTTGGTAAGTTCTTTTGTGTGCAGTTAAAAAGAATGTGTATTCTGCTGTTGTTGGGTAGGAGTTTTTGTAAATATTGATTATGCCAAATTGGTTGATAGTGTTGTTCAAATCTTCTATATCGTTACTGATTTTCTGTCTAATTGTTGTACTTGTTCTACCAATTATTACGAGGAGACTGTTGAAATCTCAGACTATAATTGTGGGTTTCTCTATTTCTTTTTGCAATTCTGTCAGTTTTTGCTTCATGTATTTTGAAGCACTGTCAGTAGGTGAGTAAATGTCTAGGATTACTGTGTACCTCCTGATAAATGACTCCTTTATCATAATTTCATGACTCTTTTTAATCCCTGTTAATATTTTTCACCATAAAATCTACTTTGACTGATAATAATAAACGTTCAAACTTTCTTTTGATTGGTGTTAACATGATATTTCTCTCCCCTCCCCGTTTTTACTTTTAACATATTTGTGTCTTTACACTTAAAGTGTGTTTATGTGTGAGTTCGTGTGTATGTTAGCATATAGTTGGATCCTTCTTTCTTTATCCAGTCTATCTCTGCCTTTCAACTGGGTTGTTTAGACCATGAAAAAAATATGATAATATGTTTGGGTTTTATTTTAGGATCTTGTTTTATTTTCACCTTGTATCATTAATTCTTTGTTATGTGTTTTCTCTTTTTTGCTGCCTTTTGGATTGAGAATTTTCATGATTTATTTTGTCTTCTGGGTTGGCTTATATTAATAACTTAAAAAATAACTACTCTAGTGCTTATGGTATCCATCTATGACTTATCACTGTTTACCTTCAGGTGATACTATACCAATTCACAAATAGTATAAGAAACTTAAAACAGTATATATCTGCTTCTCCCTTCCTGAACTTTGCCTTATTGTTTCCATACATTTTACTTCTTTATATGTTATAAATCTCAAAAGACATTATTTTTGCTTTAAATATTCCGTTATTTTTAAAGAGATTTAAATAATAAGAAAAATTATTTTACGATCACCCATGTAGTGAACATTTCTGGTGCTATTTATTCGTTTATGTAGATTCATTTTTCATCCGATGCTATTTTCTTTCTTTCTATAGGAGTTCCTTACATGTTTTGGCAGTACAGGTGTATTGGTGATAATTTTTGTAGCTTTTATAAATATGAAAAAGTCTTTATTTTGCCTCTATTTCTGAAAGGTACTTTCCCTGGATATAGAATTCTAGGTAGATGATGTTTTTCCTTTTAGTACTTATCTTTATTCTGCCCTCTTCTGGCTTGTATTGTTTCTGGCAAGAAGGCTGCATCATTTTTGTCTTTGTTTGGTGTGCTTTTCTTCGTGCTTCTTATGCTTGGGTTTTATTGTGATTTTGGGGTCTGTGGCTACATCATTTTCATAAAATCGTGAAAAATTTCAACTTGTATTTCTTCAACTATTTTTCCTGTTCAACCCACCTCTCCTGTTCTTCAGGGATTCTTATCACATGTATTGAAGTTGTCCTGCAGCTAACTAGAATCCTGTTTATTTCATTCTGTTATTTTTCTCTCTCTGTTTTTAGTTTTGAAGAGTTTCTAATTCTATCTTGCAGTTCACTAAGCTTTTCTTCCTGCCGTGTCAAACCTGCCATTAATCACATCCATTTTTTTTTTTTTTTTAAGCCAGCATTGTAGTTTTCATCTCTAGGGGTTTGATTTAGGATTTTTAAAATAATCTCTTTCATTTCTCTACTCAACATGCTTGATCTGGCCCCTTGAACTAGGGGAACACAGTGATAATAACTATTTTAATTTTTTCCATCTATCTGTGTCATTTATGGGTCAGTTTTGATATGACTGTTTTTTTTCTCTTTATTTTGCTGCCTCTTTGCATGCCTAGTAATCTTTGATTGGACGCTAGATACTGTAGATTTTACCATGTTGGGCATTGGATATTTTTTTATTACTAAAAACGTTCTTGAGCTTTGTTCTTTTACAGGGTTGTTACTTGGAAATAGTTGATCCTTTTAGGTCTTGCTTTTAAGCTTTGTAAGTCAGGAGCAGAACAAGGTTTATTCTAGGCCTAACTTGCTCCATCTACTGAGACAAAGCCCTTCTGGGTTCTCTGCCTGGTGCCCCATGACTGATAAGATTGTCCATTCTGGCTGTTGAGAACAACCACCATTCCCGGCATGTGTGCGCTCCGGGTATTATCCACTCTAATTCTTGTGGCAATTTTCACTCTGGCCTTGGGGAGCTTTCTTTCATGCTTCTGCTAATTGATACTCAGCTGAAAACTTGAGGGAGATCCTGTAGACCTCCAAAGCTTGCTTACTCTCTGTGTACAGCTGTAATCTCGCTGAGACTCTGCCCTCCACTCTCTTGGTTGACCTGGATTCCCTGCTCCATCTCCTCAACTCAAGAGAGAACACTGGGTTTTGCCTGCATTTCCTCCCAGCAATGTCGTGGCCTAGAATTGCTCTCGACACAGTAATTTGGGAAAACCCTAGGGCTCGCCTCCTTTGTGTCCTTCATTCCCTGACGTTCGATGTCTTGAACATTGTTATTTCATCTACTTTGTGCATTTTTTAGTTGTTCAGGTGGGAGGGTAAATAACGGTTATTCCATCTTTTTACTGAAGCAGCCATCTTTTCCTGCTACCTTATCCCCAAGTTTTAGCTGAGTAAAGAGGGGAGGAGAGAGGTTAAATAACTTGCTCAAAGACACAAGTAGTAAGTGACATCCTGGATTTGACTAGAAATCTTTTAGACTTCCAAGATGATTCTCTTAATCATAAGGCTACAGCACTCTCACGTATAACACAAATCAATGTATTTAATAGTTGGTGTGTTTATATTTAGATATTACATTAAGAAACACTGACTAATTTCTTATAGAAATGACTTTCCCTTTCTCCCTTTTAAAGATAAATGTGTGGCACGTGAAGAGGAAGTTATTTTAGTTTCGTCTGCACATGAAATTGATGCTCGTTCATGTCCTCTTATCCTAAGTGAACACAAAGGCCCTATAATTTGGTATAAAAATGACAGCGAGACACCTGTATCTACCGAAAGAGACTCCAGGATTCATCAGCACAAAGATAAACTGTGGTTTGTTCCTGCTGAAGTAGAGGATTCAGGATATTACTACTGTGCAGTGAGGTAAGAAAGGAATTAATATGTTACAAACGTGCGTTGTATGCACCTGCAATAGTTAAGGACAGAAAAATCTTCTAATAAACCTATTTTGATTTATTTTAGCAATTCAACTTACTGCCTCAAAACTAAAATAGCTGCAGAGTTTGTACAGCATGAGCCTAACTTGTGTTACAATTCACAAGCCGTATTTACACAGAGACTACTGATTCCAGGAGATGGACAACTTGTATGTCCTTATTTGGATTTTTTCAGAGATGAAAACAATGAGTTACCCCAAATACAGTGGTATAAGGTAATTTTATATTACATATGGCATTCTACTCATCTAGCAAATAAAATAGTTTTCTATCACAGACAATAGGATGAATCTGCAAAGCGCTTTTTCCTTTGGCATATTATTTTGCCTTTGAGTGGTGAAATTTAATAGGATGTTTTTAAAAGGTTTTAAGACTGTACACATTTAATTTGCAGCTTAACTCAAAATACGTCATTCTTGTTTAATAAGGTAGAGCTGAGAAAAGTATAGTAGGCATTAAAAGATGTTTAAAGATAAGGATGATTATAAATTTAGAGTTTTTAAGAAATAACTGTTTGTTACAAAGTATACTATTTTGTGTTTTATTACAAACATTAAGTGGTCCTTGGATAACCTAGTGGTTTCTCTAACTAACTGTCTGAAAGGCGATTGGCCAGCACTCCCCGGAATACATCATATTCTGGTATCTTTGATCTACCTGGCTTGTTGGAGCTTACATGGAGAGTCATCTTGTAGAGGTTAAAAAATACAAAATAGTATCAGTGAAGAATGGAAGTATAGCATTACTAAGCAACTATGGTGTTAGCATTCTTTCCTCAAATGTGTTTCTCTTGCAGAGTAAGTTTGTCTTCACTTGTCTTCAAAGTTCAAGCCTCATAGCCATAAAAATGTAAATCCTGGGAATGTAATTATGACTTTGCAAAAAAATGCAATATTAAAACTTGTATGCAAGGAACCTTTCTATTCATATACGTACGAATATAAATATGAATAACTGGTTTTCAATACTTCCTTCCTTTCCCTCTGTTTAGGACTGCAAACCTCTACTTCTTGACAATATAAACTTTGTTGGAATAACAAATAAACTCATCATCACGAATGTGACTACGGCGCATAATGGGCACTATACGTGTCATGCATCCTACACACACTTGGGAAAGCAGTATCACGTCACCCGGGCGATAAAACTCATTACTCTAGGTGAGTCAGAGCTCCAATCCTAGGATTTTAAATCCAGGAAGGCCCAGAGACCATAACTCTAATATCACCTTCACTGTCTATGGAGGGACTAAATCCAAGAGAAGCTTGATGACTTGCCAGAGGTCACCTGGCTTTAGTCTAGTTTTTGTTGTTACGTGTTATGTATGTGTTTCTCATTCCTACTTCAGAGGCAGTGCTGATCAAACAGACAAGGGTGAGCTATGTGTTCCAGCTGAACTCGGAGGCACGTTCTGTGGCCTGGCTAGAGCTGCTTCTCCAGAGGGTTCTCTGGAGAGGCACTGGAGGAACGACAGTTCTGAGATCCCTCACTTGGGCAGTCTGAGTGTCTAGCCATCACTGGCGTGATGGATGGATGCTAATGAACTTTGGCACAGGTTACACTCTTGTTAGATCTCTGTTAGTCCAGTCACTTAACTTCTCTAAGGCTGTTTCCTCCTCTGTAAGAAAATTCAAGCTTCCAAGCTTGTTGCAAAAGCGAGAGATCAAGTGTGCTCAGCTTGTGGTCCTGTGCCTGGGGCCAAACAGATGAGAAATGAGTAGGTGCATGGTGATTATTCCCTGAGGCTTCTCTTAACCGTATTTCATATTAAAGACTACAACAAAATAAAACCAAGGCACTCCTACAAGTTACCCGGGGATGGGCAGAATGCTCAACCTTTCTGTAAATACCAGGGTTTTCTAAGCTTTCAGTAAGAAAAGAATAGAGTTAGTTTAACCAGGACTTTGAAAGTCAAAGCAGTCTCTCTCAGTAATTACTCTGGGGCAACAGGGATAAACAGGGCCTATCCCAGGTAAACCCAGATTATGATCACTTTTCAGAGAGCTATGTTTTCTCAATTCTACAATAATTCATTTTTTCTTCAAAGGTTAATTTTATTGTCTCAGAATCAATTCCTTCCCTACATCCTACAAGCATCAATGACTCGTAAACTTCAGCAGTCCTTGAATCACAACCGTCCTGAGTTCCTGAGCAGCCCCTCTCTGGTCACTGTGTAGCTCTGATTTGTTTTCCTTGGGGTACTGCAACCAGACCAGCAGACCAAATTTTAGGGAAAACAGGGCACTACAGAGTTTTAAAAATAGGTCACATGGGTTTAAAATACTTTCTGCCATCCTTTCTGATCCCTTACGTAGAAATAACATACTTAATCAGATGTGAGGTTGTATTTTGTTTTCTTCTAAAGGTGGATTTACACATATTTATTGGGCATCTACTATGTTTCAGGCACTGTTCTAGGTATACATTAGGGAACAAAGGAGACAGTATCCTGCCCTGATGGAGCTAACTTTTTTTTTTGACTGTGGCGGAATAAATGCTGGGCATTCAAATTCATAGTTTCTCAGGCTTGGCCCCAGATAGGTCAGATTAATTTCTGGAGCTCCTTAGTATTTTTACGCTTATTTTAATAAATTATGCCAAAATGGTTGGCATTCTTCAGTAATTGTGGCTTTCACTCTTGGGTCATTGTGAAAATTACTAAGTACAAGCACGTCTACCAATAGATGGCCTTCTGGTTAATAACGCTCCATCCAGGGAAGTTCCTTTCCACAACGACTCGTTTCTCCTGATTTGCATGAAGAGGGGCACTTGTCTGGAGCCCCAGGGCCTGGTGATGTGTGGGGGTTTTTTTTGCAGCACCAAACTCTGGGTTCAGAAGGGCCCACTCTGTGGGTTTTGCTGTGGTCTCTGTGTCAGCCTCCTACCTTCACCTCCGGCCTTCTGTTTCCTGCTATATGTGCTTTGGCCAGTAGAGGGAATGTCGGGCAGATGCCTTTTGGTATATTTTGCCAAGTGTGGTCATCACTTGAGATTCTGGTCTGCGAGAGACCTTATGGATGTTTTTCTTTCAGTGAAATCCAGGAACAAGAGACCCGAGATTGTGAGCCCAGCTAATGAGACGATAGAAGTGGTCTTGGGTAAGTGGGCTACAGCCAGGATATGCTGAAATCAGTATTTGTTGCACTCGAGATTAGGGTAAACTGTACCTTTACTGCACACAAGCTGTTTAGTGGATATATATCTAAAGTTAGAGGGGAAGTGGCACAGATTATGTCTTAAATGTTTCTTTGGATTTCTTGCCTCTTAGGGCAAACATCTAGCCATGTCTGATTGGCCCACCCTTACTTTCCTATGGACACTTATTACTCGTGAAGCCATCAGCCAAAGACCAAGTTCAGGGACTATCCCTGGCCGTCCAGTGGTTAAGACTTCGCCTTCTAATGTAGGGGGTGCAGGTTCGATCCCGGGTTGGGGAACTAAGATCCTACATGCCTCGCGGCCAGAAGACCAAAACATAAAACAGAAGCAACTTCAATAGAGACTTTATCAATAGAGACTTTAAAAGCGGTCCACATCAAAAAAATCTTAAAAAAGAAAAACAAAGACCAAGTTCAGTAGGCCTAGGAATAAGAAATGTAACTTACTTGGTGCAGGATGGATTTCTTATGATCAGAGTTAAGCTTTTAGGTAGAAGAATAGGACTACAGGCCAAAAAGAGTTATTCTAGAGAATTATTTTTCCAAGTTAGTGATAATGTTCATTTTAAGAATAAAGATGTAACATGATAAGCATTCAGATCTAAGCTATGCAATATGATAGCCACTAGGCATGTGTGGCTACATACATGTAAATTTAAATTAAGTAAATTTATTTAGTTTAATTAAAAATTAGTCCCTCAGTCAAGGGCTGAAGAGTGACATGTGCTAGTGACTACGTATGAGACAGCACAACTATAGAACATTTTTGCCAACGCTGAAAGTTCTGTTGGAGACCACTGGTCCAAACATAAAAACAGATTTTTGTATCAGAGGATCAAAAATCAGGCTGGCATATAGAATTCTGTAATAGTAACTGCATGAAGACAAAGAGCAAATGTACAGAGATTAGAAGGTAAAATTTGTGACCTCTGAATTCTGTACTTGGCCAAGTTGTTCTTCGTGGTGGAAAGTAATATGAAGACATTCATAGATGTAAACAAAGATGTGAAAATTTTAAATATTGTTCCGTAGAATCCAGAGCAGTGTTTCAACCCTTTTTTCCCCATTATTGCTCCCCTGTAGCGCCTAACAAGCTATTTTTTCCCTAATACTCTTTACAAGCTATTTTTTCCCTAATACTCTTTAGTTTCTCAGATATTTAATACCCAGATATGCACTATGGCACTTTGAAAGGCCACAAACCATTGCAATAGCTAAGCTTCTCTTGCTCTCCTCGCCAAGAAACACATTTTGCCCTGTTGAGAAAGCATGCTCGAGGAATGTATACTTAGAGCTCTAAAGCCTAGATTTGATCTACAAATCTAAAAATAAGTTTATATTAGGAAATAATAATTTTAATATATCACATTGATCAGAGGCCTGATCACCGGGGCATATGAGTATCCTATAATCAGACACTTATTTGATAAGATTTCATATTAATTACCAGTAAAATGACTTAGAAAAATAGGAATTGAGGGATACTTTCTGCACTCAATAACATCAATTCAAACCAATCGTCACCAACGTTTTTAATATAGTGTTAAACCTTCTACAGGTCTAGGCCTTAACATGTTCCAGAAGTGCCCACTAATGCAAGGATAAAAGAACCAAGGCATGCTGACTGTAGGGGAGAAAAGAACTGTATTATTTTCAGATCATATAATGAGGTACCTACAAATATTGTATTGACCAGATATAAAATTAATATTCTAAAATATTAGACTTATTTAGCAAAAATCAAGAAAACAATGGGAAAAGAGATCCTATTTGCAACAGTAAATGCCATAGAGATGTCTATAATAAGATAGCTTAGCAAAACCTTTAAAAATTATGTTGGATTGATAAGGAAGAAAAAGCCAACCAAACAAAACCCCCACAAACTCTGACCTATAAATCTCAAAAAACTGGGAGATTTAAAGCATACATTCTTAAAGGGATGGGGAGATGTTGTCGGCAATGGGGAGAAAATTGGTTCTTAGGAGGTGAAAAAATCTAAATCAATAGATATAGTGTATATCTGTGGTATTAAAAATTCATGGAGAGTTAGGCAACTGGGATAAAAAAAATCCAAAAAAGCTCCAAAGGGAGCAATAATAAAAACAATCTCTCAAGAAACACAAATTTAAGAAAACCTGTAATAAGGATGTGTGTTTTTCCTATATGAAAAACTGGAAATTGTAAAGATACGGACTCTCAACAGTAAGTTACAGATTTAATGGTTCCAAGAAAAATATGAATGGGCTTCAAAATTGTCAAGTGATACTGAAATTCACCTGGGAGAATAAAATGCTGAGATTACTAAGATAATACTGGGAAGAAAAGCTAAATGATATGAATATTTACCCTAAAACTGCAATAATTAAGAGTGTGGTACCCCTGGCGCCAGTATACACATTCAGATCAACCTAGAAAGTCCCAAATAATTATTTTATAATTCTTACATAACTGAGGAAGCGATTTATTATTCAGTAAGAGATTCTGGAATTATCAGTCAACTATTGGATAAAAACATTAAGTTAAAGCTTTTTCTCATACCATACCCAAGTTAAGTTATACTCTAGACAGATTAAAGAACTAAAACAATCAAAATACAACAATGCAAACATCATATATACCTGAAAGAAAAAAGTACATGGAATATTTTCCTGATTTGATGGTAGAGAGAGCGTTTCAACAACAACAAAAAAATAGTGAAGACGTAGTATAAAACAATTGTAAATTTGGCCAAATAATAAAAATACATACACTAAAGAATTTCCATAAACAATAACAAAATGAAAACAAGCTCTGAAAGATATTTGCGGTAGTTTTCATGTATGATAAAGAGTTACTATCCTTGATAATTAAAGAGCTTCCATGCATAAGGTTAATAATATGAGAATGCAGCTTAGTAATGGCCATTAGGAATAACAAGCAATTCTTTTCTTAAAAATTTCTTTGTTCTATTTATTTATTTTTGGCTGCGTTGGGTCTTCGTTGCTATGCGTGGGCTTTTCTCTAGTTGCAGAGAGCAGGGGCTACTCTTCCTTGCGGTGCACAGGCTTCTCACTGCGGTGGCTTCTCTTGTTGTGCAGCACCGGCTCTAGGCACACGGGCTTCAATAGTTGTGGCACGTGGGCTCTAGAGCACAGGCTCAGTAGTTGTGGCGCACAGGCTTAGTTGCTCCGCGGCATGTGGGATCTTCCCGGATCCTGCATTGGCAGGTGGATTCTTAACTACTGCGCCACCAGGGAAGCCCATAACAAGCAATTCTTCAAAGAAAGGCAAATGAATACTAAGCTTATGAAAAACATGTCATGTTAATTCACCATGAGCTCAAGAAATGCAGATGAAAATCTAAATGGAATTTTTTTTCTTCTCTCAATTGGCAATGACTAACCAAAAACACTTGGTATCTGGGGCTTTCGGGGATAAATGACTCTTGCATACACTGCTGGACAGAGCGCAGACTGGTGTAGTCTCCCTTGGGACAGGGCGTTTGGCTTTTAAAGATATGTCTCTCTTTTAACTCAATTCTTCCAGATTTTTATTCAGTGTAATACTTCAGGATATGTACAATGTTGACGTACAGGAACATTCACTGGAATGTTAATCATGATAATGGAAGATCAGAAACAAATTATGTTTAGCAATAGGAAAGGAAGTCATCATAGTATGTCTGTATGATGGAACAGTAAACTGTCATGAAATAGCCTATTTTGGAAGGCTAATCACGTGAGCCGAAATTCTCAATGTACGATAATTACAAATAGTAGACAACGACACCCCATTTTAAAAACTGCTTACGTACACAGAAAGGTAAGGAATGAGATATGTAAAGTTACTAATAGTGCTTATCTCTTGGTGGTGGATATAAGGGCCATTTCTTCCTTTTGCTTTCCTATAATTTAAAATTTTTGTTCAACAGTCATTTATTAATCTAGACAGATCAGGTAAAAGTCCATGAATGTTATGATTCAAAATCCATTCCTTTGCAGGATCCTGGCTCCAACTGATCTGCAATGTTACCGGCCAGTTAAGTAACTTTGTCTACTGGAGGTGGAATGGGTCAGGAATTAAGGAATATGAGCCTATGATGATGGAAGAGTTTACACAGTGAGTATGCCAAGAGCCAGATATGCCATAGAGACATTTTGGTATTAAATTCCACGTCATACGTTATATAACCATTATGATTGAATCTAGTGGCAGTGATCGAGTTGGTCATTGATTGGTCCTTAACCCTTTGCTGCCCATATTGAGTTTTGCTAAGCTCAGCAGGATTCATAAGATCTTGTCCAATGAAGGTGACAATACATGTCATTATGGTACAAATTCCAGACCACTTGGAAGGCTTTCTCTTAAATTCAGTTAAAAATGTTGCAGCATTCCCATGAAGCAACTGTCCTGAATTATCCTTCATGTCATTCCATTTTTAAAGTAGTTTAGAAAAGACTCATTAATCGTGGCCAAGCATCAGGCACTCCCCTGCTCAGGTCTCTGATGGCGCCCTATTACTTCTTAGCATCCCCTGCAAACCCTTTCCCATCTGTCCCAATCTACTCTTGTTTCATATATTCTTCGTGCCCCATGGAGACCAGAATGCCTAGGTCCCCATTTTCCTGCTTGGAAGCTGGTAATTTTAATTTTATTTCTCTGTGCTGTTGAGTGTTTTACTCACAGTGGTCTTAGGGCTGTGAAACGTCAGACCAGTCTTGCTAAAAGCCTGATTCTCATACCTGTGCTTAGGGCTGGTGATTATTTCTGCTGTAACGATCAACCAGGGCTGCTTATCGTATCTCTAATTGATGCCATTTATACAATTTTATTACTCTTTTGAACAGCGTGCCGAATCCTTTAAACAAAAGAGAGAGTGCGGTCGTCGCACGCCTTAATATTACGGCAGTGGACAGTAAATTTCTTCTGCATCCATTCATCTGTTTAGCCAAGAATACAGAAGGAATGAGTACGGCATACATCCAATTAATACAGCCAGGTAAACAACACAGCTGTTTATTTGAAATGCAATTTTGTTTTCCTGTAGTAAGATTTCATGACCTTGAGGTTTACAATGCTATTTCCTCTACCCAGAATGCTCTTAGATTCCTCTTAACCTGGGGACTGCCATTCTTTTTCACTTCCCAGCTGAACTATATCTTCTTCTAGGAGGTTTGGCTGTCCTGCTGCCTACTCTTCCATCTCTCTGCCCAGTAGCGCCTCTGCTATGCATGTCCATATCTATCTTAGTTTTCTTTACTTGAATATAAATTCTGTGATGTTGCAGATAATCACTAATCATTCTATTTCCAGAGCTAATAGCAACTTAAGTCTGGTCATCCTCGGTACCTAATGAATAGTTTTAGGTAAAGCACTACATGACGAATGCACAGGGGAAACCTAAATATCCACTTTCCAGACAGGAGGTCAGAAGTTACTGGTTTTCGTGAATTCTGTAATCAAACACAATATTGGCAGTATTTGTGTTTCTGCTCACTGATTCATTTTTCTGCCTCATTTATTCTGCCATTGATCCCTTCTACTGTATTTTTCATTTAAAGTTATGGTATTCAACTCTGGTTGCCTCTATATTTTCTAATTCTGTGTTAAAAACCTCTTATAGCTTTTTGCTCCGTGCATCCATTCTTTCCCCAAGTTCTTGGACCATCTTTACGATCATTAACCATCTTTACGATCATTACAGTGAACTCTTTCTTGGGTAGATTGCCTGTCTCCACTTCATTTAGTTGTTTTGCTGGGGTTTTACCTTGTTCCTTCGTCCGGAATGTATTCCTTTGCTGTCTCATTTTGTTAACTTTCTATTTGTATTTTTATGTATATGGAAGATTAGTTATGATTCTTGGTCTTGGAGAAGTGGCCCTCCGTAGGGGATGTCCTGTGTGTCAGTACACTCCCCTCTTGCTACCCAATGGCCTGGGACCAGCTGGTCCCACGGTAGCTTCTGACCTCTTTGTGTACTCAGTTCCATAGGCTGTGGGTTGATAGTTTTCTTGCTTCTGGTGGGTGAGGCTGGTTTAGGGGCTCATGCAGGCTTCCTGGTAGGAGGGGCCAGTGCCTGACCACTGCTGGGTGCCGCTGGGGCTTGGCCCTCTGGGGTCAGGGCCGTGTCAAGGGGAACATCTAGAGCTGGCTGCGGGCTCAGGAAGTCTTTAGGCAGCCTGTCTGCTGATGGGTGGGGCTGTGTTCCTGCCCTGGGTGGTCGTTTGGCCTGATGCAGCCCAGCACTGGAGCCTACAGGCTGTTGCAGGAGGCCAGGTCTTGGTGCCAAAGACCCAAGCAAGATATCTGCCTCTATCAAGAGTTCACGCAGATGAACACTCCCAGATATGTCTGCCACCAGCTTTTATGATCCCAGAGGGAGCCACAGCTGCCGCCTGCCCAGCAGACCCTCCAAACCAGCAGGTAATGACTCCTATAGAGTCACTGCTTTTGCCCTGGGTTTTGGTGTGCACAAGACCTTGTGTGCCCTCCAAGAGTGGAATCTCTTTCCCCCAGTCCTGTGGAGCTCCTGCAGTAAAGCCCCATGGGCCTTCAAAGCCAAATGCTCTGGGGGCTCTTCCTCCTGATGCCAGACTCCTAGGTCAGGGAGCCTGATGTGGGGCTCAGAGTTCTCATGCCTGTGGGAGAACTGCAATATAATTATTCTCCAGTTTGTGGGTTGCCCACCCAGGTGGTATGGGATTTGATTATATTGCGAGTGTGCCCCTCATACCATCTCATCATGATTTCTTCTTTAATTCCTTGGATGTAGAATGTCATTTTTGGTAGGTTCCACTCTTTTATCGATGGTGGTTCAGCAGTTAGTTGTGATTGTGGTGTGCTCGTGAGAGGAGGTGAACTCAAGGCCCTTCTACTCTGCCATCAAAGGCTTCAGTGATTCCTCATGGCCTACTGGATATTTCGAGCCTCTTACAGACTCCTTCAAGTGTTATTCAGCTTTCTCCCCCTCCTCATTTCACTGATACTCGGCAGCATTTGCCAACTCTCCTTAAAATTCTACTCTTTGCTTCTTGTACTTTCTCTTACTCCATTGTACCCTTATTTCCTTTGCTGTCTCCTTTTCTTTTTCATTGCACTAAAATTATTTTCCTTACAATTTCACCATTAGAGTTCCTTATTTGCTCCCATTAATAGTTTGTAAAATTGGTCTTGAGACCACTTATTTTCAGAATCATATAGGTTGCTTTTAAAAGTTCAGACTCCTCAACCTACATGGGGCTGCAAAATCAGATTAGGAAGACCCAGTGGTGGAAGCCACTGCTAAAGAACAGAAAAAGGAATGAGAAATATGAGGACAGTTTACAATACAAGACCTTGGGGACAATGTCAAATGCACCAATATTTGAATTATAGGGGTCCCAGAGGGAGAAGAGAGAGAGAAAGGACCTGAGAAAATAATAATTGAAGAGATAATAGCTGAAATTTTCCCTAACATGGGAAAGGAAACAGTCACCCAATGCCAGGAAGCACAGAGAGTCCCATACAGGATTAAAACCAAGGAGGAACATGCTGAGACACATAGTAATCAAACTGACAAAAATTAATAATGATAAAAATATTAAAAGCAACGAGGGAAAAGCAGAAAATAACATCCAAGGGAAACTACATAAGCTTATTAGTTGGTTTTTCAGCAGAAACTCTGTAGGCCAGAAGGGAGTGGCACTGTATTTTTACAATGATGTAATGGAAAAACCTACCACCAAGAATAATCTACACAGCAAGTTTATTCTTCAGATTTGATGGAGAAATCAAAAGCTTTACAGATAAGTAAAAGCTAAAAGAATTCAGTACCACCAAGCCAGCTTTACAAAACATGGTAAAGGAACTTCTATAAGCAGAAAAGGAAAGGCCACAACTAGAAACAAGAAAATTATGTAACAGGAAAGCTTACCAGTAAAGGAAAACATACAGTAAAGGCAGGAAATCATAGACACACAAAGATATGAAAACCAGTAATCATGAGGAGAGTACAAATGCAGGATATTTCAAATGCATTTGAAATTAAGAGATCAGCAACTTAATACAATAATGTATATATATAGCCTGCTATACCAAGACCTCATGTTAACCACAAACCAAAAATCTACAACAGATATACACATAAAAAAGGAAACTAACAAACACTAGAGGTAGTCATCAAATCACAAGAGAAGAGAACAAAAGAGGAAAAGAAAAAAAAAAGTCCTACCAAAACAAATCCAGAACAATTAACAAAATGGCAATAAGAACATATAGACTGGCTGAATGGATACAAAAACAAGACCCATATATACATATATCATCTACCAGAGACCCACTTCAGATCTAGAGATATATACAGACTGAAACTGAGGGGATGGAAAAAGATATACCATGCAAATGGAAATCAAAAGAAAGCTGGTGTAGCAATTCTCATATCAGACAAAATAGACTTTAAAATAAAGACTGTTACAAAGAAGGACACTACATAATGATCAAGGGATCAATCCAAGAAGAAGATTTAACAATTGTAAATATATATGCACCTAGCATAGAAGGAGCACCTCGATATATAAGGAGAATGTTATCCGATATAAAAGGAGAAATTGACAGTAAGGCAATAATAGTGGGGGACTTTAACACCCTACTTACATCAATGGACAGATCATCCAGACTGAGCATCAATCAGGAAACTCAGGCCTTACATGGCACAGTAGAACAGATGGACTTAATTATAAGAGCATTCCATCTGAAAGCAGGGAATACACATTCTTTTCAAGTGCACATGGAACATTCTCCAGGATAGATCACATGTTGGGCCACAAAGCAAGCCTTGGTAAATTTAAGAAAACAGAAATCATATCAAGCATCATTTCCAACCACAACACTGAGATTAGAAATCAACTACAAGAAAAAAACTGCAAAAAGCACAACCATGTGGAGGCTATATAATATGCTACTAAAGAACCAATGGATCACCTGAAGAAATCAAAGAGGAAATAAGAAAAAAAAAACCTAGAGACAAATGAAAAAAACATGTCCACCCAAAACCTCTGGGATGCAGCAAAGGCAGTTCTTAAGAGGGGAGTTATAGTGATACAATCTTAGGAAACAAGAAAAATCTCAAATAACCTAATCTAATACCTAAAGTAACTAGAGGAAGAAGAACAAACAAAACCCAAAGTTAGTAGAAGGAAAGAAATCATAAAGATCAGAACAGAAATAAAGAAAATTGATAAATCTTTAGCCAGACTCATCAAGAAAAAAGGGAGATGGCCCAAAGTAATAAAATTAGAAACAAAAAAGAAGTTACAACTGACACTGCAGAAATACAGTGTCATAAGAGGATAAGAGACTACAACAACTGAGACTACAACAACTCGCTCTATGCCAATAAAATGGACAACCTAAAAGAAATGGACAAATTCCTAGAAAGGTACAGTCTCCCAAGACTGAAACAGGATGAAATAGATAATATGAACAGACCAATTACAAGTACTGAAATTGAATCTGTGATTTTAAAACTCCCAACAAACAAAAGTTCAGGACCAGATGGCTTCACAGGTGAATTCTACCAAATATTTAGAGAAGAGTTAATGCCTATCCTTCTGAAACTATTCCAGAGAATTTCAGAGGAAGGAACACTTCCAAACGCATTCTATGAGGCCCCCATCACCCTGATACCAAAACCAGACAAAGATGCCACAAAAAAAGAAAATTACAGGCCAATATCAGTGACGAATATAAATGCAAACATCCTCAAAAAATACTACCAAGCCAAATCCAACAATACATTAAAAGGATCATACACCATGATCAAATGGGATTTATCCCAGGGATGCAAGGGTTTTTCAGTATCCACAAATCAATCAGTGTGATACACCACGTTAACAAATTGAAGAATAAAAACCATATGATCATCTCAATAGATGCAGAAGAAGCTTTTGACAAAATTCAACACCCATTTATGATAAAAACTCTCCAGAAAGTGGGCATAGAGGGAACATAATAAAAGTCATATATGATAAACCCACAGCTAACATTATAATCAACACTGAAAAGCTGAAAGCATTTCCTCTAAGATTTCCTCAGGAACAGTACAAGGATGCCCACTCTTGCCACTTTTATTCAACTTAATTTTAGGATTCCTAGCCAGAGCAATCAGAGAAGAAAAAGAAATAAAAGGAAACCAAATTGGAAAAGAGGTAAAACTGTCACTGTTTGCAGATGACATGATACTCTACATAAAAAATGCTAAAGATGCTACCAGAAAACTACTAGAGCTCATCAGTGAATTTGGTAAAGTTGCAGGATAGAAAATTAATACACAGAAATCTCTTGCATTTCTATACTCTAACAATAGATCAGAAACAGAAATTAAGGAAACAATGCCATTTATCATCACATCAAAAAGAATAAAACACCTAGGAATAAACGTACCTAAGGAGGCAAAAGACCTGTACCCCGAAAACTATCAGACACTGATGAAGGAATTTGAAAATGACACAAACAGATGGAAAGATATACCATGTTCTTAGATTGGAAGAATCAATATTTTCAAACTGACTGTACTACTCCAGGTAATGTACTACTCCAGGTAATCTACAGATTCAATGAAATCCCTATCAAACTACCAATGGCATTTTTCACAGAAGTAGAACAAAAAATTTTAAAATCTCTATGGAAACAGAAAAGACCCTGAATAGCCAGAGCAATCTTGAGAAAGAAAAACAGCTGGAGGAATCAGGCTCTCTGGCTTCAGACTATACTGAAAAGCTACAATCATCAAAACAGTATGGTACTGTCACAAAAACAGAAATACAGATCAATGGAACAGGATAGAAAGCCCAGAAATAAACCCACACACCTGTGGTCAATTAAACAAAGGAAGCAATAATATACAGTGGAGAAAAGACAATCTCATCAATAAGTGGTGCTGGGAAAACTGGACAGCTACATGTAAAAGAATGAAATTAGAACATTCTTTAACACCCTATACAAAAATAAACTCAAAATGGATTAAAAACCTAAATGTAAGGCCAGATACTATAAAACTCCTAGAGGAAAACATAGGCAGAACTTCTTTGACATAAATCACAGCAATATTTTTCCTGATCCATCTTCTAGATGCCAATAAAAGCAAAACCAAATGGGACCTAAGTAAACTTTAAAAGCTTTTGCAAAGCAAATGAAACCATAAACAAAGTGAGAAGATGACCTATAGAACTGGAGAAATTATTTGCAAATGATGCATCCGACAAGGGATTAATCTCCAAAATACACAAATAGTCATACAACTCAATAATAATAACAAAAAAAACCCAATCAAAAAATGTGCAGAAGACCTAAATAGACATTTTTCCAAAGAAGACATACAGATAGCCAACAGGCACATGAAAAAATGCTCAGCATCACTAATTATTAGAGAAATCAAAACTACAATGAGGTGTCACCTCATTCTTGTCAAAATGGCCATCATCAAAACATCTACAAATAATAAATGCTGGAGAGGGAATGGAGAAAAGGGAACCCTCATATGCTGTTGGTAAGAATGAAAATTGGTACAGCCACTATAGAGAACAGTATGGTGGTTCCTTAGAAAACTAAAAATAGAGTTACCATATGATCCTGCAATCCCACTTCTGGGCATATATCCAGAGAAAACTATAATTCAAAAAGATACACGCACCCCAATGTTCCTAAATGGAAGCAACCTAAATGTCTATCAACAGATGAATGGATAAAGAAGATGTGGTGTATATTTGCGATAAAATGTTACTCTGCCATAAATAGAATAATTCCATTTGTATCAACATGGATAGACCTAGAGATTATCACACTAAGTGAAGTAGACTAAACAGAGAAAGACAAATATATGTTATCGCTTATACGTGGAATCTAAAAAAAAAAAAAGATACAAATGAACTTGTTTACAAAACAGAAATAGACACACAGACATAGCAAACAAACTTATGGTTCCCAAAGTGGAAGGGGAGGGGGGGATAAATTAGGAGTTTGGGATTAACATATACATACTAATATATATAAAATAGATAACCAACAAGAACATACTGTATAGCACAGGGAACTATACTCAATATTCTGTAATAACCTATAAGGGGAAAAAATCTGTAAAAGAATATATATATATATATATATATACACACACAATATATATACATATCTAACTGAATTATATATTTTATTTGTATATATAACTGAATCACTTTGCTGTACACCTGAAACTAACATGACATTATAAGTCAGCTATACTCCAATAAAAAAATCTTAAAAGTGTTTGTGAAATATTTTAAGATAATTTGTAGTTGAATTAAAATACGGTATTTATGAATGTGTACATGGAAGAAAATCTAAAAGAACCTATGGACAAACTATTAGAATTAATAGCTAAATGAGTGTATATGTTTATATATAGTATTTCTATGTATTTCTGCAAATACCAACAACAAATAGAAATTAAGTTTAAAAAATAACATTTACAGTAGCATCAAAAACTATCAAATATTCAGTATGTAGGAATAAATCCAGCAACAGCTGTTCAAAATCTGTGATGCAAACTAAAAATACATTATTGAGATAAATTAAATTTGAGGGATATACAATATCCATGGATTGAAAGACTGAAATACTCAGTATTATAAATATGTTAGTTCCCTTCAAATTAATCTACAGATTCAAAACAATTCCAATCAAAATCTCAGCAATATTTGTACAGGTGTGGGTGTGCATCTGTGTGGGCATGTTGTTGTGGGCACGTTTATCCTACAGGTCATATTGGAAATGTAAAGGGCCAAGACTAGTCAAGGTGGTCTTGAATAAAAACAACAAATCGCAAAGATTTACACTTCAGATATCATGATCTTGTACAAAGCTACAGTAATTAAGACTGTAAATGTGAACTATCAATTGGGCCAATTGGATATTGACCTATCTTGAGTTTCACTTCATAGCCAGTTCAACTGCAGATGGATCAATGACTGAAATTGGAAAAGCAAAATAACAGAGCTCTCTGGATGCCTCCTTGGCCCTTGACATTTAGAAGGCTCTTTCTCTCCTCTCCTCTCCTCTCCCTTACCTCTCCACATGAACTCCTCTGCAGTCATCAGATGAATAACTAGCATGTGAAGCTGGGAGGACGTGAAGTGTGAAACACTGTCTGGCATCCCTAAACCCTTTTCTCCTTTCCTCCTCTCTTCAGCTTGCTCCACCTGACTCTCCTACTTTTGTAGAACTTTTGTAGGTTCTTGAGTGACTCTGACTTTACTCATAGTCCTATGGAATGCTCTATCCTATGGTCTTTGGTATTTTTTCTATGTTATTACATACGACTTGCGTGAAAATTTAATACAATGCACCTTAGTTTTATACAGTATCCGTTCTCAAGGCCTTTGTACATTAGTATTCATGAATAAAAGATGATAATGAATGGGTTAATACTGTCTGGGATTTGGGATTACAGGCCAATCCCAAATATGGTTTCTCTGGGATGATAATGTTTAATTTGCTATGCTCAATTTTTAAATTCTTTGGGTTCTAATATTTTTTCCCCTCTTTTCTGCTGTAGTCCCTGACTTCCAGACGCCCACAATTGGTATATTTGTCATGTTAGCATTGGTAATTACATGCTCTGTTTTCATCTATAAAGTCTTCAAGGTTGACATTGTGCTCTGGTACAGAGATTCTTTCTATGATTTTCTCCCAAAAAAAGGTACAATTTTGTATTCTATGCAGTATTTTCTTGTTGGGATAGTTAAGAGATGTAAAAGCTAACTAAGAGGGGTTTTATTTAAATTTTAAAATGAAATGTGGCATATACAAAATAACATAATTATACATAATTATAGTTTCTTAACCAAGTAGACTGAGTGAGTAGTATTATTTTCTAAGTTACTGCTCTGGTGTTCATAATGGTGGGATAAACAGGCATTTAGAGCATCTGCTTATAAATCCAGTTATTCAGAAGCTGTGGTTGAGGACTTGCTCTGTGCTGGGTAGAACACAGATCACCCCATGATTTGCCATCAAATGGAAGAAATGATGTAATTTTCATGCATCAGGGAAGCACTCTCTCTTTTGTTTAAACCTCACAAAAAAGTAATACTACATTAATATATAAAAGGAAGAATGGATAGAATTCAGGGCTTAGACATTTGGGGGAGATAAGAACAGTGAGATAAGAGTAGCTCCATACCGAGGGGTAAAGAATGTTTGCATATGAGGGGACCATCGAATAATATAAGAACAACTTTGTAGTAAAACAGAATAAATGTAAACTTGTAAGAAGATGAACACTTTAAAAAGGCATTATACTTTTGGTGTTGTTGCTTCATACCATTGCACACAAAATTAATAATTCAGTATGAAATGCAGGTTTGCGATACTGACTTTACCAAATCTCATCTTTTTTTCTTTTGGTTCTAAATATATTGCATTTTCTCTTTAGCTTCAGATGGAAAGACGTATGATGCATACATACTATGTCCAAAGAACCCTGGGGAAGGGTCCACCTCTAACTCAGATATTTTTGTGTTTAAAGTCTTACCTGAGGTCTTGGAAAAACAGTGTGGATATAAGCTCTTCATCAGTGGCCGAGATGACTATGTTGGGGAAAGTATGTATGCAATGGAAAAAGTAATAGTCTTGTAAAACTAATTTAATTACTAAACTTGGGTTCCCTCTTTCTGGAAGACTGTGACCTGGGTGTACATATTTGACCATTTTAAGAGCCTCTTAAGTGGTGCATGATGACGATTTTCATATTAAATGCAAAGTGTTTACTTTTCTCATATTCTTTTGGGGCAACAATTAACTAAGTTTTATTTCATTTTGGAAAACTTAACTAGTTAGATCCAGTAGTTACTTTACAGCTGATGGTAAAATAGGAGCGATATAGATCCAATGGTTTAACAAGAAAGTTTATAAATTTCTACTTAAAGTACTCTGACCCCTGCTCACCTTCTGTGGGTCAGTTTTTGATCTATTCTATAAAATGAGAAACTCCTTCAATCTTAGGTAAGGCAAGAAAAAAAGAGCATTAGGAGACATAGGCCGTGGGGTGGGAAGAACCTTGAGGGGTTTTGGTTCTGGAGGGAATGATTGTAAGTTGAAAGTTTACTTGCTGTGCTTCGTGTTTTTCAGGCATTGTTGAGGTTGCTAATGAAACCATAAAGAAAAGCAGAAGACTGATTATCATTTTGACCCGAGAAATATCAGGATTCTGCTGGCTGGGGAATTCATCTGAAGAGCAGATAGCCATGTACAACGCTCTCATTCAGGAAGGAATTAAAGTTGTCCTGCTGGAGCTAGAGAAAATCCCAGACTATGAGAAAATGCCAGAATCCATTAAATTCATTAAGCAGAAAGAGGGGGCCATACGCTGGTCAGGGGACATTAGAGAAGGGTCGCACACTACGAACTCGAGGTTCTGGAAGAAGGTCAGGTACCACATGCCAGTCCAGCGGCAGCCGCCTTCAGCCAAGCACAAGCTGCTGTCCCCAGCCACTCAGCTGGACTCGAAGGAGAAACGGCCTCTGGAGGTCCACGTGCCCCTTGGGTAGCAGAGAAGCTTGGTCAAGAGTTCCTTGGTGATTCCTGTCTTCAGGCATTGCAGGCGGGGCTGGGCCTCACTGACTTGTACAGTCATACCACACACCTGTGTAGTCCCTTATCCCTGAGGTCACCTAGAATTAGATTGTTAAGGGAGCAGTATGTGGTGACAGTTGCCCTGTGGCCAGGGCAACTCAGAGCAGAGGGCTTGGGAAGTCCTTTAACAAGGCAGCAGATGCCCTGTCTGAATGTTTGAACTGCTGAGAAAAGGCACTGAGGCGGCAAACAAGAGGAATGAACGTGCAGGAAATCCCTTCTATAGACAGCTTTAGGAAGTCACCCACAGTCTGAGGGCAGGGCTGTGGCCCAGTCTGGGGACAGCAGGGTCACTGGTCCTCGAGCGGTTCTCTTGGACATTGCTGCAGGTACAGTGAGACCCGTACTTCCCAGGGAAATGAGACGCATTCTTGGAGAACTTTCCATTTGCCTTGCATTTCCCATACCCCTTGACGGCTGGCAGTCACTTACTTCACAGACCTTTAAAACTGTCATTTCAATGAACAAAGGAATTCTCCAGTATTAGAAGGGTTTGCAATAACCTTAGCTTTCTGCAGGAGAGAGAGAATTTCAAGAGCAAGAGTTGCAAAGAATTGATCCACCTCTTAATGCCTTCCCCCTGGAATGACCATTCGGTTCCACCTTATTCTTCTGCATTTTACTTGACTTGTACCTTCTTTGCAAGGACAACTTCCAAGTCACCTCCTCCTTATACTCTGTCATACACACACGGCCCCAGATGAACCATCTTTCCCACAATGCTGCTGTGATCTCATCCTGTCCTTACTAGAATACTTCCACCGGCTCCTCCTGGTTCAGGAGCTAAAGCCCATGTTCTCCCACTTAGCATCTCACCACCCCAACACAGCTGGACCCCTCTTGGTCCTGCTCTGCGAATCCCAAGTTGTGCACCTTCATACCTGCCCCCAGTGCCCCTCCATCTCTGCCTCTCCTTCCTGTCTCCTCACATTTTCTCCAGCTGACCAGAATTTTACTGAAACTCAAAATTTACTCCAAATCACTTCCTCCAAGAGATTTCCCCAAGAAACTGCCCTAAGGCACTTGCTCTCTTTTTCTCTTTTCCTCTTGTACTTATTGTTGGCTGTCACTTTATGGGAAGTTTGTTCTGTCTCCAGCTAAGGAGCCCTGCTCTCTGCAGGAGAGGTGTGGGTGTGTCTCTTTGTCAGAGGTGCCTTCAGAAGTAATTTGCACATATAACAGATTTGTGTAGTGCTTTATTGTTTAAAAATGTCTGCAGATTATCTTATTTAATTTTTGAAAATCTCTTTTAAGGTTTCCTCTAACCTCTTTCCTTTCAGGCCTTCCCCATTAATTAGATTTTACTGCACTATCTGATGGTAAATTTTTTGTTTGTCCTGGTCAGCCTAACTGTTTAAGTTTGCAAATGCAATGAAGTGTTTCATTTCCAGTTGTTAAAACTGGCTTAGCAGAATTTTTATTTTCCCCCTTCTGCCTCTATTTTATTTGCAATGAAAGAAAGGGTATTGAGCCATTTTTTCAATGATATTTTTTGTAAATTATATTTGTACTGGTTAATGATGAAGGGTTTTTTTTAAACTTGTTTGTATAATTCTGTAGCAGATACTAAATATTTTTATATAGTAAGATGCCAGATTCATGTACAGCACATATCATTGATCAATGGACTGTACTTATTTTCCAATAAAATTGTCAAAACCTGGTATTGACCGTTCTCCTTCAAATCTGTTTCTTTGCCGGCCCTCTCCTGAGTTTACCTGCACACTCCCAGGTCCCATAGAAAGTGAGGACACTCTGCCTGGGGAGGTCAGAGACCATTAGCTAACCAATGAGGGCTGATTCCCCTCTGTAGCCTCAGCTGTACTCCATCTGTTTGCTTGCTCCTAAAATGGACTAAAATGTGAGTCTTCTTATTAACCCTTTACCAGTCCAAAAACTGATAAGGGCAACCATTGTATAGACTTTTACATTTTCACCAGAAGGCCAAGACCCGGCTCTGCCCACCAGGGGACAGAGACTGGCCCCTCCCACCCAGAAGCATGAACAAGCCTCTAGACGAGCCTCACCCACCAGGGGGGCAGACACCAGATGCAAGAAAACTACAGTCCTGCAGCCTGTGGATATGAGTCCCCAAGCACAGGTCAGAACCTACCCTGGGACCAGCTGATCCCTGGCCCTTGGGTGAAGAAAGGGAGTGTACTGATGGGACACATAGGACATTCCCTACAGAGGTCCACTTCTCCAAGTTTGAGAAACATAACTAACCTTCCACATACATAAAAATGCAAACAAATTTAGATGAAATGAGAAGGCAGAGAAATATATTCCAGATGAAGGAACAAGATAAAACCCCAGAAGAACAACTAAGTGAAGTGGAGATATGAGAAGTAGTTCAGAGTACTGATCATAAAGATGATCCAAGAACACGGGAAAAGAAGAGATGCACAGAGTGAGAAGCTACAAGTTTTTAACAAAGAGTTAGAATGTATAGAGACAACCAGAGCTGAAGAATACAAAAACTGAAATGAAAAATGCACTAGAAGAAATCTACAGCAGAATAAATGAGGCAGAAAAACAGTAAGTGAGCTGGAAGACAGAGGGGTGGAAATCACTGCCAGAAAACAGAAAAATGAAAAGAAACGAGGACAGTCTAAGAGACTTCTGGAACAAGGTCAAATGCACCAACATTTGCATTATAGAGGTCCCAGAAGAGGAGAGAGAGAAAGGGCATGAGAAAATATTTGAAGAGATAATAGCTAAAAACCTTCCAAACCTGGGAAAGGAAACAGTCACCCAAGCCCAGGAAGCACAGAGAGTCCCATACAGGATTAACCAAAGGAGGAACACTCCAAGACACATAGTAATCAATTGAACAAAAGCTGATAAAGAAAAAATATTAACAGCAACAAAGTAACATATAAAGGAATCCCCATAGGGCTTCAGCTAATTTTTCAGCAGAAATTCTATGCCACAAAGGAACAGCATGATATACTGAAAGTGATGGAAGGGAAAAACCTACAACAAAAATACTCTACCCAGCAAGGTTCTCATTCAGATTTGACAGAGAAATCAAAAGATTTACAAACAAGCAAAAGCTAAAAGAATTTAGCATCACCAAAGCAGCTTTACAACAAAATGCTAAAGGAACTTTTGTAAGCGGAAAAGGCCACAACTAGAAATGAGACAATTAATGAAATGGGAAAGTTGCCTGGTAAAGGCAAACAAACAGTAAAGGTAGGGAGTCATCCACACACAAATATGACATGAAAAACAGTAATTGTGAGAGGAGAGCACAAACGCTAGATATTTAAAATACATTTGATACACACTACTATGTATAAAATAGATAACAATTGAGGACCTACTGTACAGCACAGGGAATTCTACTCAGTACTCTGTAATGACCTATATGGGAAAAGAATCTAAAAGAGTGGATATATGTATATGTATAACTGATTCACTTTGCTGTACAGCAGAAACTAACACAACATTGTAAATCAACTATACTCCAATAAAAATTAAAGAAAATAAAATGCATTTAAAATTAAGGAGTGAGTAACTTAAAACAATCATGTATATACAGAGACTGCTATGCCGAAAACTCATGGTAACCACAAACCCAAAATCTATAATAGATATACACACAAAAAAGAAAAAGGAATCCAAACACAACACTAAAGATTATCAACAAATCACAAGAGAACAAAAGAGGAAAGGAAAAATAAGACTTACAAAAACAAATCCAAAACAGTTAACAAAATGGCAATAAAAAATACATATTGATAATGACCTTAAATGTAAACAGATTAAATGTTCCAACCAAAAGACAGACTGGCTGACTGGACACAAAAACAAGACCTGTATTTATACTGCCTACAAGAGACCCACTTAAGATCTAGAGACGTATACAGACTAAAGGTGAGGGGATAGAAAAAGATATTCCAAGCAAATGGGAATCAGAAGAAAGCTGGAGTAGCAATACTTATATCAGAAAAAATAAACTTTAAAATAAAGACTGTTACAAGAGACAAAGAAGGACACTACATAATGATCAAGGGATCAATCCAAGAAGAAGATTTAACAATTGTTAATATATATGCACCCAACATAGGAGCACCTTAATATATAAGGAGAATGTTACCAGACATAAAAGGAGAAATTGACTGTAGGGCACTAACAGTGGGGGACTTTAACATCCCACTTACATCAATGGATGGAATATCCAGACTGAATATCAATAAGGAAACTCAGGCCTTAAATGACACAGTAGACCAGATGGACTTAACTGATAATTATTGAGCATTCCATCTGAAAGCAGCAGAATAAACATTCTTTTCAAGTGCACATGGAACTTGTCCAGGATAGATCACACGTTGGGCCACAAAGCAAGCCTTGGTAAATTTAAGAAAACTGAAATCATATCAAGCATTGTTTCTGACCACAACACTATGAGGTTAGAAATCAACTACAAGAAAAAAAAACTGCAAAAAACACAAACATGTGGAGGCTAAATAATATTCTACTGAAGAACCAGTGGACCACTGAAGAAATCAAAGAGAAAATTCAGAAAAAGCTAGAAACAAATAAAAACAAAAACGTGTTGATCCAAAATCTTTGGGAGGCAGCAGAAGCAGTTCTAAGAGGGAAGTTTATAGCAATACAATCTTACCTCAGGAAACAAGAAAAGTCTCAAACAACCTAACCTTACACATAAAGTGACTATACAAAGAGGAACAGGCAGAGATCACCTTCCTCCCCACAGATACACCAGAAATACATCTACACGTGGAACAACTCCTACAGAACACCTACTGAACGCTTGCAGAAGACCTCAGACCTCCCAAAAGGCAAGAAATCCCCCACATACCTGGGTAGGGCAAAAGAAAAAAGAATAAACAGAGACAAAAGGATAGGGACGGGACCTGCACCAGTAGGAGGGAGCTGTGAAGGAGGAAAGGTTTCCACACACTAGGAAGCCCCTTCATGGGCGGAGACTGCGGGTGGCAGAGGGGGGAGCTTCGGGGCCGCGGAGGAGAGTGCAGCCACAGGGGTGCGGAGGGCAAAGCGGAGAGATTCCCGCACAGAGGATCAGGGCCGACCAGCACTCACCGCCCGAGAGGCTCGTCTGCTCCCCCGCCGGGGTGGGCGGGGCTGGGAGTTGAGGCTCGGGCTTCGGTCGGAGCGCCGGGAGAGGACTGGGGTTGGCGGCATGAACACAGCCTGAAGGGGTTAGTGCACTATGGCTAGCCGCGAGGGAGTCCGGGGAAAAGTCTGGACCTGCCGAAGAGGCAAGAGACTTTTACTTCCCTCTTTGTTTCCTGGTGCGCGAGGAGAGGGGATTCAGAGCGCTGCTTAAAGGAGCTCCAGAGACGGGCGCGAGCCGCGTCTAACAGCGTGGACCCCAGAGACGGGCATGAGACGCCAAGGCTGCTGCTGCTGCCACCAAGAAGCCTGTGTGTAAGCACAGGTCACTATCCACACCCCCCTTCCGGGGAGCCTGTGCAGCCCGCCACTGCCAGGGTCCCGGGATCTAGGGACAACTTACCCGGGAGAATGCACAGCACGCCTCAGGCTGGTGCAACGTCACACCAGCCTCTGCCGCCTCAGGCTCACCCCTCACTCCGTGCCCCTCCCTTCCCCCGGCCTGAGTGAGCCAGAGCCCCCAAATCAGCGGCTCCTTTAACCCCGTCCTGTCTGAGTGAAGAACAGATGCCCTCTGGCGACCTACACGCAAAGGCGGGGCCAAATCCAAAGCTGAGCCCCTGGGAGCTGTGCGAACAAAGAAGAGAAAGGGAAATCTCTCCCAGCAGCCTCAGAAGCAGCGGATTAAAGCTCCACAATCAACTTGATGTACCCTGCACCTGTGGAAAACATGAATAGACAATGAATCATCCCAAATTAAGGAGGTGGACTTCGAGAGCAAGGTTTATGATTTTTTTCCCATTTTCCTCTTTTTGTGAGTGCGTATGTGTATGCTTCTGTGTGAGATTTTGTCTGTATAGCTTTGCTTCCACCATTTGTCCTAGGGTTCTATCCGTCTGTTTTTTTGTTTTAATTTTTTTCTTAATAATTATTTTTTAATTTTAATATCTTTATTATATTTTATCTTACTTTATTTTATTTTACTTTATCTTCTTTCTTTTTTTCCTTCCTTCCCTCCTTCCTTCCTTCCTCCTTTCTTTCTTTCTTTCTACTTCTACTAATTCTTTCTTTATACTTTTTCTCCCTTGTATACTGAGCCATGTGGATGAAAGGCTCTTGGTGCTCCAGCCAGAGTCAGTGCTGTGCCTCTGAGGTGGGAGAGCCAACTTCAAGACACTGGTCCACAAGAGACCTCCCAGCTCCACAAAATATCAAATGGTGAAAATCTCCCAGAGACCTCCATCTTAACACCAGCACCCAGCTTCACTCAACGACCAGAAAGCTACAGTGCTGGACATCCTATGCCAAACAACTAGCAAAACAGGAACACAACCACACCCATTAGCAGAGATGCTGCCTAAAATCATAATAAGTCCACAGACACCCCAAAACACACCACCAGACGTGGACCTGCCCACTAGAGAGACAAGATCCAGCCTCATCCACCACAACACAGGCACTAGTCCCCTCCACCAGGAAGCCTACACAACCAGCTGAACCAACCTTAGCCACTGGAGACAGACATCAAAAACAACGGGAACTACAAACCTGCAGCCTGCAA